GCCATAGTGTTTCTAGTCCTAGGGTATTACATCTAGTGGAGTAGTTCGCACCATTTTCTGTTCCGAGTAATTTAGCAAAGAACAAGATTAAGAACTGCAATTATCATTTGTTGACATTCTGGAGACCATTATTCAGTTTTTCGCATTTAGTTATGCCTAGCCTGTGTCATTCTGCCTGACTTTCAGTATGACTTTGCAAAGAAGTCCAACTGTTCAGTTTACCACATTCCATGCACCACACAAAAGTAGAGAAATGAAACTAAATGGAAGTTTAACGAGCGAAAATTTGAGGGAAAATAAATAGCGACAACATGAGTTGAATAGATACGTGAGATTACACAGAGTGAATGCATCTAAACAGAATATATATGTATATATACACACTAATCACCCCCTAAGTACTCCACTTGCTTTCTTTTGCGTTGTTGTTGTTTGTCTTCTTTTGTCTCTCACCATTTCAGCTTCCATTTAACTTTTTGAATGAGAACAAAGAATGTAGATATTTGCCCATTTACAATGACAAATGATCTGCAAACATTATTGGTCCCATAACTTACAATTCCCTCGTGAATTGCGCATTGCCTTCACCAAGGACGCAACCTGGATTACAGTTGTGAAATATATCTTCATACCAATAAAAAAGTATTGATTTATAATACTTCACGAATGTAACTTATAACATAACTGATCTTGTCTGCAAAATAGCTTGCATTTCTTGAAAACACCCGTTTATAAGAAAATATAAACTGTCATTATTATTAGTCTACATTGAGTACAACTCACTTGTGATGTTACGAAGAAAATGCTGACAAAAGTATACAAGTGTACCACTTATTTTAAATTATTATCAAATCTGGATATAAATCAAGAATAAGACTCGATGCCGTAGACACCAAAGTTGTATGGAGGAATTACTTCAAGCTTTATTTTTTTCCCAAGTATTTGTAATCCATCCAAAACATACTTGGGTTTTTTTGTTAATGCGAAGACAATATTTCTATATTTCTTGATGTGCTCCATTGAATGACTAGTTATCATATTGTTCCCATAGACAAAATGACTGCAACTTTATAATTTTACCATGAACCAAATTTATGTAATTTAAATGATACTTATCCATGCCTGTACAATTGGTGTGTCCTACACAGGTAGGAAAAAATGTATTACTATTATTAAATATGTTTACTAATCGTATATGTAATTTATCATATTGATGATGCCTGTAAACTGGCTTCCCTCATGTACAAAATGAGAATATACTATTATTTATTTATTTATTTATAAACAAAGACTTGCAGACATATATCTAGTAGTTCTTCTAGCTTACTGTCAACGATTTTATGAACCAATAGCAGTTTTCCATTCGACCGACCCAAACACATTTTGAACCTTGACATGTGCTGGCTAACATTATCCATCGAGGAAGGCGATGGCTTGGTATGCAATCACGTGTTATAGCCATCTCAACCTATTCAGCTTCCCAACCTTGAAGACTAACTTACCCTCCTCACCTAAAACTTTATGCGTAACCTCAAGAGCAATCACCATATTATACTGCTTTAATCATGAGATAGAACACAGACACCTATAATCAAACACCGGTATTCTTTACATATTTTCCAGTATCAGGGGTAACTTCTCATAGTCTAGGTGTACAGTATCATCAGTAAACTGTAAGTTGATGATGATAAGTCTCTAAAGCCATTTATAGACTATCCTACTGATATATGTGTGATTGGATTGAAATGATATAAGGATGAGAGTTTAAGAATTCAGCCTTGTGTTACATCCCAATTGGAAATGTGTTTTCTCGGATAATTCGCAAACAGTAATCACTGAATAGAAAACATTCTGTAGAATTTATGAAACTCATTAACTGACGCAATACTTTTGCAGGCATTATAGTGTTTCCTCAATTTATTTTTTATTTTTTTTTTTGATTTACAGCTTGATTCCACACCGTATTTTCAGTACAAGTATGGAATTTTCAGCATGGATATCGGTTGCCCAAATTCAGGCATACCATAGATATCGGGTGTGCGCCGGCAGGGGATCGAACCCCGGACCATGTGCATGGTCGGCGAGAGTCCTAACCACTGTGCCACCGACGCACAGATTTGTATATTTCGGCTGCATAAAACGAGTAAGTGGTATCCTGGTAATACAAATGACTACAACAAGTCTTGGAATCATGCACCACAACTTTTACTTTACTGAATACTCCAGCAGATTTGAAAAACACACTTGACAAATATCAAATTTATACAGGAAGTCAGTAAGATTTACTAAACTAAAAGCACTTTCGGTTTACATAGGAGATTTCCATGCCGAATTTATTCCTCCGAGGGCCGGCCCTCTGTGTAGGCCTACACAGATTACAACTTCAATTAAATAACATTGACGTTGAAGAAATTCCATTCTTCATTACTAAACTTAATGATAGTAATAATGTTTTTCTTCTAGAAACAGGAGCATTCCTAATGTTTCATTTTATGTAAATGCAGTTACATACAGTTGCACTAAGAACTCAATGCAACTCGGTACACAATAGTATATACACAAATAACCTGAAAAATAACGTCCTCTTTACCTTCTGAACAACTTTTACTTATTACAGGATAATAACTTTCTTTCACGTATGAGCCTGAGATATGTCTATGAAATCACAATATTATATCAGTTAAATCTCGCCCCGAAACCAAGGCCATTTGAAACCAATAGCAACATACAGACAGACGTCATTGAGGGGATATGCAATAAAGTCGCTCTTGGCTACCGTTGATGACATCATGATAGCTACTCCCTCAGTGTGTTCGTGGTTGTCGTCCGGGTGACCAGACCGGAGTAAATTAATGACTCTCCTGTTGACGATGTTGTCAATCCACATCCATTCCATCTGCTTTCGCAGATACCCTTTGCGATATCTTCGCATCTCTTTGGCTACCTGAACAGCGTTCCCAGTCTCGCACATTGTACGAACATTCCACGCACCCATTCTTACTCTTGCTTTCATCGAGATAAGACACATTGTCTGACTGGCTTTCCAAGGGCTGGCTTTCACCAACACGCACCATTTCACCTGTCCGATTCGAGCGAAGAATAAGACTTTTATCTGAAGTTTTTGTATTTTTAATATATTTTCTGTGCGTTGAAGTTCATCCAACACCATTGAGTATAGACTTGATATTGAGCAGGTTTAATAATTTGAGTTGTGCCAACTGGAATCGTGGATTCTTGTGATTCCTTGTCACAATGGAAAAAATATCACTGCGTTTTTTCGGAGATTAGACTAGCTGGTGAAGCATAAATACTGTTCAAATCTTCCCATCTGATAGTGTGGTGCATTTCGCCCTTGTTTTCTTATATTTCATTCGAGTCTGTTTTTTCATCGTGTTATCAGGTAGACATTATACGTACGACTCTTATTAGCCTGAAGGCTGTTTCTTGATCGCTACTTTGAAATAATGACAAAATTCAAGCCAGTACGGCATTAGATATCACCATCCCCGATGATATCTGCGTCTAATATGGATGGAAACTTGGATTCTAATGTACTTGGCCACATACTCGGCGACCTTAGTGGGTGAAAGTTATCCTAAAATCTTTTCTGGGGTTGTTAAATTTTATCTATACTGTACTCAGATCGTCGTATCCCACAAGCTCTATCGAGATTAAATTATCTACTTCTACAGAAGTAGAGTTTCTGAAACTGAGAGAGGTTGTAATCGATTGGACATTCAACTGAAAAGGAGGCAGGAATGATAATTTTCGAGGAAAAACCGATTAAACAAAAGCACATAAGACAGTTAACTGCGACAGAACAGAAAGCGTGTAATATACGAATGAAACAATGGGCTGGTCACTTCAGAGGGCTGCGAAACAGCAGGACCAGACAGAATTACTATGGAAGCACTGAAAAAGGATCCTGATGCCTCAGCGGATATCCTGACCCCACCATTTCAAGAAGACTGGGAGGAAAAGAGGCATGTGTGGAATGGAAAAAAGGCCAGCTTGTCCAATAATAAATAATAGCGGCTTGGACTTCTTCAAGAACTATAAATATATCAGGCCACGTCATCCTGGAGAGAATAAAGTATGCTGTGGATGAAGAAAACAGCCTTTAACAAGCTGGATTCAGGAAAGACAAATCTATGTATAATCAACAAAAGGAGCACAGAATGTCATTTGAACCTGAACACTAGCTTAGTCGGTATTAAGAAAGTGTTTGGCAGAGTTTGTCACTAAGTTAATCGAAAATTAATTCAACACTGCGGATTGCAATACCACAGATCCTTATCAACCTCACTCAACAACTTTAGGACAATACCAGATATCAGGTAATGCACAATGGGAAATTCAGTGAAGCTTTTGAAGGTGAAGACGGGGTGAGACAAAGTTGCCTATCACCAGTGATGATGTTCCTGAATGTAGGGGACTGAATCATGCGCAGATTGTTGGTAGGGCGAAGATGGACGGGCAAGTTGATTCTTCAAGATTTGGAATTCACGGAGGATTTATATTTAATGTCACACAAACCCATGTTGTATATTATAAGGTTATCTTTCAGGATACCTTTGCGAGGTCATCACAAAGAGTTTCTCAAACTGCAGTGGAACATATATACGTACGAAATTTAGGCTCGCATTGGGTGGTAAATGAATGGAACAACCTACCCAACGAAGTAATACTAGCCCTATCGCTTAAAGCTCCATATCTATCATGAAGAAATACGTGTTCAAGGATTAGCGAAGGTCACAAGAGCATACTATCCTTTATTATCTCAGTATTAACAAAAATTTGAAAACTTTGGCAGGTTTCCTACGTATACGGAACGCAAACCTCCAAAATTCTTAGATATAAGCTTTCCAGAAGGCCAAGATTCGGGTTCTTCACCGAGAGAAAGCAGTGATTTCAGTACAGTTAGGAAATACTCATTGGATATTGAATGAAAGATAAGGCTATTTTACGCTGTCATATTTAATTATGACCTAGGACTTTGGGGCGCCTCGTTTAAAGTTTCCGGTTCATGATAGCGTTCATGTAAGCAGTTGTTGTTTTGGCTTTTTTTGCTTTTGACTTGTGTCATGTTTTTATTATAGCGATATTTTATAGGTCCTTTGACATTTTATAAGCAGTCTTTCATAGTTGTGCAAGTGAGTTCGCTAATATCACACCCGCAGAACCTATAAAAGATTATACTGCTGTTTCCTTAACACATAAGATAATACTTGGTTTTCCACCAACTTTCTTTGTCATTTTAAATTAGTTCATTTGAGTAGATGTCTAAAATTCAGTGCGTTACACTTAGCAACCTTTCAGCTTTCACGGAGTTCATCAAAATAGTATTATAACTCAACACTTAAGTGTAGTGATAATTATTAATATTTTAATTACAGTTCTACTTCCCCAATACTTACTAAATTCTATTGCAAAATCTCCTTAGCCGTAGTGTGTTTGCAGTTGTGAGCACAGACACTGCATGAACATTTAGAGTGGTTAATCACACTGCTATTATGAAAAGTTCATATTAAACATCGAATATTTGCCGTAGTGTTAAATAAAATTTAGTATGGTTAATTTTCATTTCATATATTGTTCAAGTAGTTGATCATTGTATCTACATGTGATGATGAATTCTTATGCCGAATGAGCCTTGGACATAAAGTTCCACTCATGTTCGGTTGACATTGGTATCTTTAACTTCACATACTAAACCTCAATCATTCATCAAATATTAAAGTTTGAAGAACAGGCTTGGACGGATAAATGTCTATGTCAAATAAATTGGAAATGTTTTACAGTAACATTAACCTATGAATCCGAAGTAATATCGGGATAAGCAGTCGTATATACAGAGAGAAATAATGCGAATAAATAAAATGTATTTAGTTAGCAGTGGGTCTGTTCCTTAAAGGCTTGAGAAGTGCAAATGAGGCTAAAATATTGCCTACAATAAATCAAAACTAGAGAAAGTAATTTCAGTCTTCACTACCAATTATTTCAAGTCCATAACATTAAGTACATTTGATTACGAAAATATAAACACTATGTTTTCACTGTGATACCGAAAAAATTATCGTTAGCTTTTAATTCCAATTATATTTTCCTTTCGCGTTCATATCATTAGAACCTTAGTTTTCAGAATTAAAGGCGGAATACTTACATGTCCAACTACCTAATTATTCTTATTACGCGTTTCATAAATTATTGCTCATAAATATTTTGGATTATTCATCGGTGATTTAGAAGCAAGAAATCCTTTATTTTCGCCCCACTGTCAGTATGTGGCTCCTTTATTTCTAAGTTATTTTCTATAGGATGGTTATCTAAAGTAAATAATATATTGATTAGTTAATACAAGAATGATGTAGTATAGAGACAAAGTTAATCAGACAGCAACTAAAGTAAGACTGAGTTAAAAAACTAGATGACGTAATATAATTGGCTAAAATGTTACAACTTAGGTCAGGATAGCAACAGAGGTAATTACAGGTAGAGATTAAGTAGAAGTGAAATTGAGTGAATAAGTTGGATGACGTAACATGGATGACTAGAAACTGAGCGTTGTTCAAGTCAGTAACAGTGGTAGTGGGGTGTAGAGATTGAATCGGGTGGGGGTAGAGAACAAGAAAGTTGAGAATGTAAAATGTTACAATTGAGAAGACAAAATAATACTAATAAAGAGACAGAAGAAAAGATTAGGTAGAATTTACTTGTCGGCTAATAAGATAGATTACGTCCATTGCAAGTGTAGCGATTGAACGAACTTCTTCTGTATGCAGAGTTCAGGACTTAGCAAGTGAATCGCCATTGCTTCTGCAGTTTGAAGAAGTCTGATTCGTACACCTTTAGGGAGACCACCTCTTACTCTGTAGACGACTTTGAAGTTTGTTTGCGGTGTAGCTTGGTGTCCGGATTCTATCAGATGTTCTAAGTTGTAACATTTTAGCCAATTATATTACGTCATCTAGTTTTTTAACTCAGTCTTACTTTAGTTGCTGTCTGATTAACTTTGTCTCTATAAATAATATATGTTTGGGTGTTATAGATTTATTTATTTGCTAGAATTTAGGTGTAATGGGGGGGGGGGCGTGTTCGTTGTATTCACTTCGTGATGATGTTTTAGGCAATGTCAAATGTAGCACAAAATAGAATCTTAGTTCAAATTAATAAAATTGTCTATAAGTTACACTGTCAGCGGCCGGCGGTAGGGGGCGGGGGTTAGGTTAATAAAGTCTGTGTTGCTCAGTGTTAAATAGTTGCAGTCATTCTTAGGAGCTCAAGTGGATTGTTGTTTGAAGCTGACTTTCAAGTCGAAAATCTACGGAGTTTGTTTTTGTATACACATCATAGTTGGAGTGACCACGTTAAAATATCAAATAGTTCAGAACTCAATAGACGTAACCTTTGTGAAATTTGGTTTCTATCACTGTTTAATACTGAATACTTTGTAATATACAGTGATTTCTAAATGCTTTTGTTTTTTTAACTTTCTCTTTTACAGAAAATATCTTCACCGGGTGTATCACATGTTCTTATTTATTGTAATGTAACAAGTATTCTAGTAGTGCATGCTATCTACAATTGTTTTCCGGTGCTTTAGGTGCTCCTCTCCTTCTGATCTTCTAGCTTCCAATGTTTGTTTGTTTTTTGTATATTTAATTAATTTGCATTGATTACAGTTAATCGATTTTAGGTAACTGAAGGTGTTGTTTTTTTTACAAATCCTTTCTTTTCTTTTGTTTTTAAACCATGTTGACGTCTCGGCTTCTTTTATTGTTTTTATCGAAATTACAAGGCTTTTATGGTCTATGTTTTATTTGAACACCTTTACACTTACATCTGTGTAAGTTTTCAAGACAACTAATTCTATTTTAAATGCCTTGAGTTCTGTTTTAAAAAAAAATTCATAATATCATATTATATGAATAACTTTTACAATTATCATCATTATTATTACTACCATTACTTTTACTCCTACTGTTGTTATAAATGTCTGATAACGGTAATAATAATAACAGCAACAGTTATAACAGTCAATGTTTGCCTAATTCATCCGCGTCTATTTCTACTTCGTCAATGAGTCTAAGTATTATCACTCACCTTCAACAAGAACATGAACAACCACAACAGCTTACACACTCAAATATAGTCAGTGATCCGCATAGTTGTTCTACTGATGAATCTAATTCTTCGATTGTTGAAACGAATAACCATAATAATAATAACAATAATAATGCCAGTGCTAATGGAAGACTTCTGCCTTCGGTAACCTCCAATGGGAATTGTTATTCATCGTATAAATCTACTATCCATGATACTAGTAGTAATAGTATTTTCAATCCAATAACACAAACCCAATTCTCCAGTGATTCAGAATGCAGAAATCCACCGTATCGGCATAGTCAACAGCAACAGCAACACAACAGCAGCAACAACAACAACATCGACAGTTACACGAATCACCCGGTGAAAATAATTCATCAGCCCAGTTATTATTATTACCACCAAGTTTTAGAATTAAATGTGAAGCAGAGAGTGATTTATCTCCGACTGGTGGTGGTAATTCTTCTGGACAATCTGCATCTATGTCTAATTCATCTACCTATGAAATAATACATAATTATAAACCGATTATATCAGAAGCTTTCTCAGGGAAATATGAATCATTTGAAGAGCATGAAATGATTGATGATGAACAAGGTATTGAAAATCAGGAATTTAATGCTACAAATGTAACTCTACAGTTACAGTCTCATAATAATAATAACAATAATAATGCAGGGGAATCTGTCTCATCATCTCAGTCAACAAGATATGCAGGGCATACATCTCGTGAGCAATTATCACTACCTCAGGTTAATTTAATTAACTCTTTTCGTTCTGATAATCTATCTATTCGTGGATGTAATAATCGTTTATCAAGTATATCTCCGTTGGATATCATACCTCAGGGTCAGTCGGATAATAATAATAACAATAACGCAGGGGTTATTAATACATCATCTGATTTTACAGCCGATTCTCTTGCCTTCATCAATACATCCTCATCGTCTGCAGGGCGTATCAACGCGTTCAATTCCAATGAACATATACTGAATACCAGCAGTACTACGTCAACTACTGTTACTTCTACACCGGAATTCACTTGTTTCTATCCAAATACATCATCATGTGACCCAATAGCTAAACGTTTCACGCCTAATGGACATGCATCATGCACGAATTTCTCTATAGCTGATCAATCTGATTCAAAAATTGTTATTGGTCTTAATCCTTTAACAAAAGCACATCGATTATGTTATCCATATGATGTGTATGAATCATCAAAAAGCGGTTTCAAAGAACATTCAAATAATAGTAACAATAATAATACTAATACTGGTAATAACAATAATATTGATCGAACACCTCAGCCTAGTCCTTCACCGAATCGTTTGAAAAATATCTTGAACAATACATTTTATGATCGTACTGGCAATATGAATGGATCTAATAATAGTGCTTTAACAACACCTATCACTTCGTGTAATGATGAAGCGGTGAATCTAGTTACTGATGATGATTTAGATCAAAAGAATTTTCTGCATTGTAATGATGTTCAACTACCAGGATTTAATAGTCCTGAATCAGCTTTCTATCAGTATCAGAATAGAATGGAGGGTCAAAGATGTCAGGTGTGCGGTGAATTAGCCGCTGGATTTCATCATGGTGCATATGTATGCGAAGCGTGTAAAGTAAGTGTCCTTTTTGTATAATATGATTTCCAAAGTATTTACTCTTAGTTTGCTATTTTAGTCCAGATGTCTCACCACTCGCCGTATACTTTCTACTACACTACTACTACAGTACAGCAAAGAAGTATAAACTTGTTCTTTAGGTCATGCCAAGTATTTTGTAAGGGTCGTGTAAACGTTGGTTGGTAGAGCAACACTGAGTCCTATTACGCGATAGTTGAATTTCTCAGTCAATGTGAACTACAGCTTCGGTTACATAGAGATGTGTAGACTGCTTGGTTGAGATCCTCGGGGTGATGGTGATATGGCTCACAGCTGTTCTCAGCGGCGCCGATAGATACATTCACGCTTTACAATCTCAGAGATCCATTTAGTACTTCTGTTTTTTCTATATATATTTCTATTTGTACTTTGATTGGACACTAGTTAGTAATTAGTATAGTGTGTCTAGCACTTTGTTTGGTACAAACTGAATTGTATCAGTCAAGTTTCCGATATGGTCACCATGATGCTAGATGGCTCACCATCACGGTGCACTGTGAATTGTTGATATTAGAAGGTTGGAGGTAATCGGTAGGAAGCCTTGCTTTACCTAGGTTTCGTACTCTAGTTGTCACTCTGTAGTCAACAAGGTGTATATGTAACCTTGAAGGAACTCATGTTGCTTCTGAGATTCGAAGCGGTGTCACTCAGTGAGTACTTCAGTCAGAGACGTTACCACTGAGTTAGCTATTATTCAGGCTCTTGTGCAAAGTTCCATGTTAAAACTCATTCAATTGGGCACGGTTTCACTGTTGTGGGAAACAGTTTAAATTGAGTCGTTCTATTGTCAAAAAGTACATCACTAGAACAGAGATCGATCGATAATTTTGACGTATAATTGTATGTACATGAAGATGTGAATCATTGACGTGAACAAGATTTTCAACCGGTAGATTCGAGTCCTCTTTCACGTATTTCAGTCTGGTCGACTAGGTAGGATTATTTACTGTCATACAAATATGGCTCATTCCATTATGGATAAGATTTTATTTTGATAAATCACAGTGTTGTACGATAATATTAACTGATGAAGTTTCGAGCACAAACTATTGCCACTCATAATTATATCAAGTTACTCACACAACTTTTTCCTTCATTTATATAGATGTGTGGGATTGACTAGCTATTTGAATAACACTCATATTATTATTTCTGAATGCACATTATCCCATTTTAATTTTTATCCAAATATCTAGTCAATTCCACACATGTACACAAAGGAAGCAAAAAAGTTGTGTGAGTGACTTGATATGATTATGAGTGGCAATAGTTTGTGCTCGAAACGTCATCAGTTAGTATTACTGTGTAACACTGTGTGATTTATCAAAATGAAATCTTATCCATAATGGAGTTATACTCTACCACAGCGTCCAAGTTTTATACTTATATCAATAATAAATATGGCTCATATCTTGGGACATGAAAAACCTGTTTTTGAAGCAAACATGACTGTAGTTGTACGTGTGATTGATCACTTTGAAAGTTAATTCTAAAGATTTGCCACTGAAAAACTATAGTTTAAAGCATTTTACTCTAAATTTCACTTATAAAATTTTTATTGAGCGTTGTACTTGGTTTTTTTAATTGGTTATTCTAAACATTCTGTACTAATCTTCTTTTAAAAAAAAACTGTATTTGAGATGTTCGCTTGTCAGAAACGCTTCCTTAGCCTACTTGTTCTCATTAAAACGGTGATTGTATATAACAGATGGTTAGGTTTTCCCATCCCTAACTTTTATTACTTTCAATATTCCCCCCTTAAGAAATAGTAACTTTAATCGATCAATAAAAGCAGTTACAACTCATCATATGTTGATAAAACCTATTTGATGAATATATATTAGTGTACTGTAATTCTCTACTATCTTCTTCTTCGTAATTGGTTACGTCAAACTATCACCCTATTGTATATTAGTGTCATTTGCTAACTTAATAACACTATGATGCTTAATGCTCTAATACAATAAACTCTATCCACCTCGCATTTGGCCACATGAATTCAGTCGCCAATTGCATAACAGATTACAATTGCGAATCTCACACTGTCTAACAAAGTTTAAGCAAATAAAATGGTTTAATCAGCTTTTATACCATTATTACAGTTTAGTACATCTGCATATATCATCTACCTGCGATAACCATATGATGATAGAAATATTTTTTTCTTCAAATTCTTTAAACCCTGATAAAAGAAAGGGCGTGGGTTCGAATCCTACATCCACCACGAGTTATGCGTCGGTGGTACAGAGGTTAGGACGCTGACCAACCATGCACATGGTCCGGGGTTCGATACCCGGCCGCCAACGCACTCCTTTACCTCGCTAGGCCAGAAATAAAGCTGGTAAAGAGGAAAGGTTAGGCATGAGGCAAGCTAGCAACCTCATCCTTTAAAAATAATCACTACTGCTACAGAAACTTCAAGCCTCTAGCTTGAAGGTGCCCTGTGTTCCACTGGGAACGTGAAGGAATGAAAAAAAAGAAGTGATGTAAGTAAAACGGTGCTTTTTTTCCGGAAAACTATAGGTATTCTAATTATCGTTATAATGTACGTGTGTATGCATTATTATTAAAGGTTTTGGATGAAATGTGGGGACCGAAAGATGCACCAAATTATATATATATATATACACATATACCCACATGTACATATTCGATAGTTGGAGGTAGTTGGAAGGAAACGTTGCTTGACTGAATTTTCGTGCTAGTTGACACTCACTAGTCAGCAAGGCGTATCTGCAACCTTGAAGGGATTCATTTCCCTTCTGAGATTCGAACTGGTGTCACTCAGTGGGTGCTGCAGTCAGTGACGTTACCCTGGAGCTAGGTATTCGGGCTCGCAATCGGCCTCCTGTAGAATTGTATTGGATAATTTGACTGGACATCAGTTAGCAAATTATGTCCGATATATATATATATCGGTCGGTCGGTCGGTCGGTTTTCGACATAGAACTTTGCACATATGTGCGGCAGTTCAAGTCGCCACAATCTATGTAGCACGCAAAGCAAGAGAAGAAAGTAGAAGAAATGCATAATATAGACAGTAAACAGAGGTGTGAGACAAAGGAATAGTAATAACGAAGAACAAAACAGTTTAATTGGAAATCATAAGTCACAAGGAGTGGATGCATCTGCGCCACTGAGAACGATTTTGAGCCATGTCACCAATTGTTTCCAACCATTGGTTTTTACCATCCCGAGGGCCCCAACCAGGAAGTCTACATCTTCCTACGTGGCTTAGATTAACTGTTGTGGATTTCATTGATTGGTGCCATGTCTTGGTTTGACCGCCGCTAGCTCTTTTCCAGCCTGACCCTATATCAGCTAACATTGCCCGTCGAGGAAGGCGATGCCTAGGCATACGTAGCACATGTCCTAACCATCTCAGTCGAAGTAATTTCACAGTCTCGTCGATTGATTTCCCCGCCTTACCTAGCACTCGACGCCTAACCTCAATATTGCTCACCTTATTATACCACTTCACGCGGGAGATAGAACGCAGACACCTATGATCGAAGACAGATAATCTTTTCATGTCTTCTGCTCTCAATGGCCAGGTCTCACAGCCATAAAGGAGGACGGAGCGGACTGTTGAGCAGTACACACGCCCTTTGGTCGATAGTCGGATATCGCGTCTACGCGAGAGACGGCGAAAACTGGCGAATGCGAACCTAGCCCTCTGTATTCGTGCTGAAATTTCGTCGGAGATCAACCCGTTGGGGGTGATGGTACTTCCCAAGTAAGTGAAGCGGTCAACGTGTTCTACCACTTCACTTCCTATTTCTAATCTAGGGGTCGATGAAGTCCAATCCTGCAGCATCATCTTACATTTTATAGGGGCGAATCGCATGCCAAACATGCGGAGATTGTTGCTCAGGGTGCTCAGTAGACTCTGCATTTTGTCAGAGTCCTCGCCTAGAAGGACTATATCGTCCGCATATTCTAAGTCAACGAGATTCTTCCCTGGTAGCAAGTCAATCCCTGAGTCGCTGAAGTGAGTTAGGGTTAAGTCCATTAGTACATCTATGATGAAATTGAATAGGAATGGGGATAATGGGCATCCTTGACGGACGCCACTAGTCGTCACCACTTCAGATGACAACTCGCCATAAGCCCTCACCTGGCTGCATGAGTACGAGTAGAGTGCCTTAATCAGTGCAATGTATTTTCTTGGCATTCCCTTTACAGCCAAGCATCGCCAGAGAACCTCCCGGTCGACAGAATCGAATGCCGCCTTTAGGTCAAGAAATATAATGATTGTAGGACGCCGGTAGGAATGCCTATGTTCTAGAATCTGTCGAAGGGTGAAGATGTGATCAATACACCCTCTACCTGGCCTAAAACCTGCCTGGTTTTCTCGTGTTTGTGTCTCCCGAGCACCACTTAATCTACGCAGTATTATTGAGCCTAGGATTTTAGATACTATATTAGTCAAGCTAATCCCTCTGTGATTATCACAAGACGACTTGTCCCCCTTCTTGTATATCGGGATGATCAGTGACTTACACCAACCCGATGGGACATCCTCTGATTCCCAGACGCTGCCTAGAACCTCCGTTAACGCAGACAGTAAGCTGTCGCCTCCGTACTTAAATACCTCTGGAGTCAATAAATCAGGTCCCGCTGCTTTGCCTAGCTTCAGATTGGTGACAGCTTTAGTAACCTCGGTTAAGGACGGAGGACCTGTGTCTATCTCCCATTCAGGGAGGTGTTGGATGTCCGGTAGGTTAAGTGTGGCTGTGGGCCAATTAAACTGCTCCTCATAGTGTTCTTTCCAGCGCTCCAGACGTCTATCCTGGGAGCTAATTATGGTGCCATTTTTCTCGGAGATTGTTTCGCTTATCATTTGTTTTTTACCACCTGTTTCCCTGATAAGCCTGAATATATATATATATATATATATATATATATATAATTGTTCACTTTAATTCCTAGAGGAACATAGGGCTTCAGGCGCTCGT